ACCGCTCCCTATACACACACACACACACACACACACACACACACACCATACATTATCCTGCATCATTTTGTGTGCAAAATTTTGTAGAGACCCCCCTCGAGCCTCCATTACCTGATATTTGGTTTCATTTATACCTTAATCAGCTTTCTCTTTTTACCTTGAAAATCAAGCATAAGCATCGTATGTTAAGTGACAACACTCTCTCCTGAGATAACCTTACAATTAGTGTAGCTAGTTCTCCAAGTCGTCCGTACTAAAAAGTAGTCATCAATTGGAGTACTATTAGCTCCACTTCTATAGGTCACAAGATTAGAGTCTCTTTTCTTGAACCAAATGTTCATTACAATTAACTCATATGTCGAGGTAAAATCCAGAATGTTCTTCATCCCTTAATTCTAGTGCCAAAACCATGTCTCTCATGGATACTCTCAAAACCAGGCGAGAGTATGAATTTGAGTAGTTATTTATTTTGTAAATATAAAAGTGCAAGCTTTCAGCCTTTCGTGTAGGTCTATATGAATTTGATTTTTGGTTTGTTTGCAGGGCATCGAAAGTACTGAAATCGGGTATCTAATTTATAAGTTCTTGGTTTCTTGCTAATTACTGTGTTTCTAATTTAGTATCGAATCATTTGGCCTATGGAAATGGCTTGCAGAAAATAGAAATACGGAACTTCCAGAAAACATGAACTTCATTCTCTTCCTATTTACGGAAAAAAATTAATTCAAACTAAGACCTATCTTATCCACATACCTTAGTATACGCACTGGATATACACATTTCCATTAAATTCTATAAAGCTTCAATGTGTTTTGTAGAAGGTGACGTTGAATCTTCTTGCTCATAGGAAGTTTTGACACACACACACACATCTTGGAAGGACTATGAAGAATGTTGATCTTGCATTAGCATGGGAAGAGAATTGAAAGCCGGGTTACCCGAGGAAAAACATCAGGTCAATGTTTCTCTCTCTCATATTCTCTTTTGAAATTTCTTTTAGGATTTTAGTTGGCCATTTTCAGTGATACTTTTGAACAATCTTTTAGAATTTCGGATGGAGTTTTCCAATACATCTTTTTCCTAGCTGCCTGGTATGCTTTGCCGCTTGAATGGAGATCTCTCCGTGTCCATACTAATTTGAAAACATTATTGTTTGAGATTTGTTTCCAATGTCTATGCTAATTTCTAATGGATGGAATATAAATATATTTATTCTGCTGGCACATGCTTGGTTGTTGCAACTGCTATGAATTCTTATTGCACTTAATTAATAACATTCCATTTGTATTTCCTATCATATATGGAGCATGAAGATCTTCAAGAATGTTAGCATACTCTCCAATATCTAAATGCATTATATCATTGTTATCCATTGTGCAAAATGACTAGACTACTAGTTATGTGCAAAATGTTGTATATATATATATAGTTAAAACCCACATTTTTATGCCAATTGTTACTCTTGCTATCCATGACATTAGAATATTAGATGTACCTTGATTTGGTCACATACTTGTGTTACTGTAATGAATTCAATAGGTATTCTTGAATGATCTTATTTTTCTCGATATGCTAATGAAAGTTTGACTGAGATTTGGTATTAATGGCTGCAAATTAAACACATCATTTTTGTGAAAGAAACCCACATCATTATTAGGACCAAGTATTATATATAAAGTAGTTATAACTTATATTATGAGTTTAAATGACTTTCTAACAGGAATGTTTTTAAAATGTTAAACAAAAAAATCAAATCAGATTATATATGATGTTCTAATGTAATGGTCATCTATACTTAATTAAACCAACTAAGTGAGGCTTGCGTTCTCCCGCCTAAACCTTTCAAGGCTGCTTTAGTAAATTCCAGTACTCCTTATCAATTCATCGCTCCTGTTGTACAAGGACTTCTGATGTTGTCGAAGAATCCTCCTCCAGTCCTCCTACACGGCTTTCACCTCCTTCTACGCTCCAGCCACAACAGCACTCCTAATTCTTGGTAAATATTGCGTAATCTTTATCGAATTTATCTCTGCCGTAACATCTATCTCTAGCACTTCACATCTATCTGTTGATCTCTCTATCTAATTAAGTGAATTAAGTTTCCCGCTCCGGGTATCTGTGCCAAGTTCTCTACCATATCCACGGTTCTTCCTACTTCAAGCTTTGTTCATCTTATTTTTTGATAGGGACTTAAGTCTGAAGCTTCATTTGCTAATTCTATGTCTGGAAGATCAATCAACCACCTCTTGCTATTTGTTTTGATATCTCTTTCCATTAGACCCCTTCTATTTCCTTGATATCTAAAGGTATTTGAGTTCAGCGATATCGACTTCTACCATACTGAATTAGCACTTCTCATGTCAGGGTTGGCCTCGCCTTTTAATGCTATGTCATCATGAATTCTTCAATGATTCGTGCATAACGGTAAAGAAGATTCAAGTTGGTTCAAATCTATCTTTTTTGTTATCTGTATGTAACATGTCTTATTATGCCTTATTATGAATCACCCAGATGGAAAAAGGATAATTAGGAGAGTTTTTTTTTTTTTTGCTTTCAAAGGAGCTGTATGTCTTCATTGTATTTTAAATCTGAATAGAATCATACGGAGTAGTTTTTTTAAAAAAGTTGATTTTGCTGTACTCAGCAAATTTTACCAAATTTATTGGTTTGACATACGGAGTAATTGTTTAATATTGTGTGGTTCAAGTAGTAATGAATTAATTTTACTTTTTATCTTAGTTCCAAATATTTTCTAGAGTGATCAAAATGACTATTACAGTTGGAATTGGGTACGCACTATTGGTGATGGGGCCTTCCGTTTCCCTATTCATTGCTTTTAACTCTTCTTTCAAGTACTTTGGTGTGGTTGACAAGCCTGATCGTATTGTCTGCGCTAAGGAGAGCATTCCTACCTACTGAAAAGACAGTATGGTGGCTTTATCTACTCATTCTCTTAAGTTCAGTGTGGAGATTCTACAAGAGGTTTGAAGATGTATTAGATGCCTTTGCTGATAAAGTATCCAAACCACGCTTTTTTACCACCGATAAGATGCAGATTGCTCTCACTGGTGGTACGGGTCATGGCGTGGCACATGCTATATTCTTCTGTCTAAGGGTCTGTTTGCAATCCATTAAAAAAAGTGTTTTTAACTTTTTTTAAAGAAAAAATCACTTATTTTTTCAAATACTACCAACTTCTACTTTCTTGGCTTCCGTGTAGAATCTACTTTTTACTTTTTCTATTACACAAAAAGCACTTATTTTACCAAACACTATCAACTTTTACTATTAATCACTTTTCCCCCAAAAGTGCTTTTATTTAAGCACAAGTGGTTCCAAACAAAGCCTAAGTCTATTGACTCATGCATTTGGACCAGAGACATATTATGTCAAACAATGCTCATAGATGTCGTTTTTCTTGGTTTCTGCAATATTTGCTCTTGCTTTTGCTACAATCTATACCTTCTCAATGGTCATAGCATTCAATGGATATCCAGAAGGATATAAACCAGACCTGATTTTTGTCCCCGTAGTTCATCCATTTGCTGCAATCTTTACACTCATAAATCTTGCTCAAGGGGGTTGTGTTATTGGTATTCCTTTGTTGTATATAATGGCAATGCTAACTTTGGGATATTGCAAAAAGATGATGTTCAAGAGGCTTTCTCAAAACAGGTGTAGGTTCCCAGTGCTGCTCTCGGGAGAATTGAGACTGATTGGCCAGACACCATCAAGTTCCCAACATGTGGGAGGAAACAGCGATTGAGAAACCACTCAAGCTAGCATCTCATTTAGGCTCTGTTTGCAAGTGATTGTTCTTAAATAAAAACCCTTTTTGGGAAAAAGTGATTAGTAGTAAAAGTCGGTAGTGTTTGGTAAAATAAGTGCTTTTTGTGTAATAGAAAAAGTAAAAAGTAGATTCTACACGAAAACCGAGAAGGTAAAAGTTGGTACTGTTTGGTAAAATAAGTGCTTTTTTCTTAAAAAAAAAAGCCAAAAGCACTTAAATTAATTGTTTGCAAACAAAACCTTAGACAATACGAGTATCTCTTACTCTATAATGACAAAAAAGGAATGCCAACATTGCACCAAAAAGGAAAGAAAATATAAATATTGTGTTGTTAGGTTTTGGGACCTGTTTGAGTTAGAATTTTAACTTAAAAGAAGTCTCTTTCATTTTGATTTTGTAATAAATATTTACTACGTATAATTTAGGTATCTAGGAACTGCATTCTGATGATGATTTGGACATTTTTTCAGTAGACCTGACATGATTTCATCAAATGTGGGTTACATATTTACATATCGCATTAGTAATATAATATTTACAATTTACATTTTATGTCACTTTTTTACAATAGTCATACCATATTTTTGAATATACTCCATACCTTTTTAGTTCAATGTATTTATACAATTATACTTATATCTTGCCTTATTATTTGGAGAATTTGTATGTTGTTATTGATGGCGAGGATGTCACAATTGATATCGCAAATTCAAAGAGACTTTGCCTAAGGAGTTTCAAGAAGTCAGAAGTGGCATGATCAACTCGAAAATCTACTACAAAAATGCGCAAAGCTGGCAAAGTTGAGAAATCTCAATGATCTCTCGATAGCTGTTTAGGACTTAAAATAAAGCTTTATTTATCCTCATCATATTTTTCAGGATTTTGAATTTTTCATGAGCTCTTTGTGTGTTTTTACTTACTGGTAATTTCATATTTTTAGCCAATATGAAAAGTAATTTCAACCTTACTTTTTCTTATCATTACATAATTCAGCATGCAAAATTAAAAGTTACATGTTTCGTTAAAATATTGGTTGATAAGCTTGATAAGTCGAAAAACATAGCCATTAAATGGGTTTTAAATGGTGTTTCAATTTTTTAAATTTGATATTCCGTGCAACGCACGGGTGAAAGACTACTATTATAATAATGTAATAGTATCGATTATGGTATTGGACTTAATAATGACCTATTTAGCCTAGAAATTAGATTTACCTTACAATTTTATATTAATTGTAAATATAATAATCATATTACACGTGAAATCTAAAATACGCGTAATATATCCTTGCGTTTAGGATCAATAATAAATTACTACAAAGAATGAACGTAATTTTTGAGTGAAGGAGTATTACATACAACTTCGTTTTTCCTATGGTAAAACTGTAATAGTGTATTTTATGTTCATATTTGTATTTATAGAGTAGTAATAATAATAGTGATAGCAAAAAATTAATTTAATTTTTATAAGCAAAGAAAAAAATCGAAACGAATTTTTTACCACATCTTAACACTGTAACTACAGCCCTTTGAAAGTAAGTTGGGTTTATCGGTCAAGGCATTCACCGTGACGTCACAATTAACCTTAACCGTAACCCCCCACGTCTTAACGGCCCCAACCTTAATCTTGACGGGAGATTTGATATTCAGCTTGAAGTTTAGTTGCCGTTGTCTTTGCTGGTATAGGAGTGACGATTTAACGGCGTTACTCAGCAAAATCTCGGATCTCTTCAGCTCAACGTGGACGTCCGTCACGTTAACCGCCGGCTGGAAAAACACCGGTATTTCACCGTAACCCAGCTCAACGCCGGAATAAGAAATCCTGACAGAGCTCCCCGGCCTGTAATAAATCCCGATTTTGTCGTTAGGGTTTTCAGACCGGACGGTGATATCAAACGCCGGCGAAATCGGGGACTCCGACGTCGCGTTCAGCCCCTTGATTGCAACGGCAGAGACGCTGTAATTCGGCGATTCCGGCCGGAAGACGAGGTAGAAAACGCCGGCGGCGATGGCGAGGGCGAAGAGGAGGGCCACGAAGAAGCAGAGAGTAACGCAGAGGCAGCGGCAGCAGCACCCGCGGCGACGCTTCCGAGCCGCAATTGACCTCGAGCGGCGGGGATTCTCCGGCGGAGGGTAGCGGTATATTTGGTCCTTCGGGACCTGGATGACGTAAGTTCCCGGCGAAGGGGCCGATTTTGCGGGAAGCGGCGATGGCGGCCGAGCCCCTGGAGACGGCGGCGAGTCGCGAGAATGTACCTGATCAGCCATTGCAGGCAAAATGTGTAGCAGAATTCCAGAATCAGTAGAAACTGGAAGAGATTAAGGATTAATCTGTAGAAAACCTCATCAAATTAAATCGAAGAAACACGAAAGGAGGATGAAAAGGAAGAAATTAATAAAGCGTATAAATACTGGATTTGGAAAGCAGTAAGCGTGTGAGTGGAAACGAAACCGCGTCCCGTTGGCATTAAGTAAGTGTAAACGGCTCTTTTATTACCTTTAAGGACACAAATTTGTTGTTGTTTTTTGGCACAATTAGTTTAGTCAATCTCGTTAATTGAACGCATTTATCTCTAATAAATTAAATGTATCATTAATGTTACATTAAATTTCGGTAGATAATTTGTTTGTCTATATGCCTTCTCAACTTCAATTTACTTGTCCCAATTGTATTTTAACGTAATTTATTAAGACAATTGTATTCTTGTAAGAGCATTTGCAGATAAGAGTGCATAATTAATTATGAGTGAATCAAGTCTAATATAACGAATACGTGTGGTTTTAGTGTGTACTTCAATTTCAAAATAAAAAACGAGGCATGTGATTATTTCAAGATAATCACAAGAAATGTTGTGTTTTAGTGTTAATCGTTACAAATGTCGTCAATATAGACATGAAGGTGTATATATGTTGAAATCTCTCTCACAATATCTGATGGATAACCAATACTGATATTGTATAATTTAGAGATATTGAACAAAATATGGAGAAGGAGAATGTGTATATTGTTGAATAAATTGTGACTTAGGGTTTACAAGTCTCCTATAAGGAGTATATATAGGGAAATCCGGGTCTAAACCTCTAATATGGGTCTGACAGACCCGAGGACATAAATGGACTGATAGTATATAAATGAATCTAGTACATACAATGAATATATATGTAAACTATACAGTAATATAAATGTTGTTTGCTGGTGTACGTGAACTGCTGTCCTGACCCAATAGTCAGCAGACCGGGGTTGGAGTCCATATACTCCATCAATATCATTCTCCTATTAGTTAGCGGTGTTCAAATAAGATTAATTGAATATCAAGTCGTATATTAGTTGATTAAGTTTATCATAATTTACATATGAATTAAAGTATCTCTTAAATGGGCATTTTATAAACAATATCTATATGCACCAAACTCATATATATTCACCCTCATTTCCCAACATTTTTGCTGCCTAGAAAGCCCTATATATGTCTCAAATAGGCTTTTCATTGTTTAAGTAATTTTCTTTGAAGTCACTATTGAAATAAGTGTGTTAAAATTGCATTAAATGTGACTATATGCATGCTTTCTCAACTTCAATTTACTTGTCCCAGTTGTATTTAACGTAATTTAAGAGCATTTGCTGATAAGAGTGCATAATTAATTATGAGTGAATCAAGTCTAATATAACCAATACGTGTAGTTTCGGTGTGTGCTTCATTTTCAAAATAAAAAGTGAGGCAATTGATTATTTCAAGATAATCAGAAAAATGTTGTGCTTTAGTGTTAAGCATTAGAAATGGCAATTGAATATTAAGGTTCCCATTTATAAAGATATGTTTAGAAATCGCTCCCATAAGAACATTCTCTTATCCTATTAACTAGAGGTGTTCGTATAAGATTAATTGAATGTCCATCAAGTCTACAATTAGTTGGTTAAGTGTATCTTATAATTTACGTATGATTGTATGAAAGTACTTTTAAACGGGCATTTTATAAACTAGATCTATCTGCAATAAACTCATATATATTCACCTTCATTTCCCAACACTTTTGCTGCCTAGAAAGCCCCATGTCTCAAATAGGCTATCAATACTTTTGATTGTTTAAGTAATTTTCTTTGAATATTTGTATTCCTTCTGTCTTATTTCACTTGTTTTATACTCCATCCGTTCTCTAATAGATGGGAGTATAGCCTTTGGCACAAGTTTTAAGGAGAAATTAATAGGGGTAAGATAAAAGGTGTAGTGAGTTGTGTATAAAGGAAAAAATAGGAAAGAGAATGAAAAAGTAAGAAAGAGAATAAGGGTATATAGGTATATTTATTGGAAATAATTTTTCAAAATGGAAAGAGAGACATGTATTAGAGAACATCCCAAAATGGAAAGAGGAACATGTATTAGAGAACGGAGGGAGTATATACTACGTAGTACTTTTCATTTTGCATTATTTAAAAATAAGTGTCAAGTTTATTTTTTTAAAAAGAAGTATGTAGTGCACAATATTTCATTTTATTGCACTCAAATATCAATCATACCTTTTATTTCAGTTTATACAACCACTCGTTGGACCATCATTGTAAACAGGCGTCTCGGACCCATGCCAAAACCTTAGAGTCCAGCCCACATTTCTTTTATAAATACTCCCTTTGAGGTAGGTATAGAGGGTTGAAAAACATCTCTCAGTTAACTCCCCTTCTCACTAGATGTATACTCTATATGCTTACCGTATCAAACCAAAATACACATAAAATGGGATGGAGGTATTTTTTATTCTACGTAGATGATTATCACATCATTCACACGCATATATCATCTAAAAGATCTCTATCTTTGAAAGTTTATTTCACAAATTGCTCCAAATTTAGTAACTAACTCCATTAATTTCTGGATCTTTCGGCTATGCATAGTGTATACTCCTCGAATTTTGTTTTTTTCAACATCAGTGTTACAAGTTTTCGTTGTACTCAGATCAGAAGTAATCTACATTTTGAAGTCTTCTACTCAAGTCGGTCATAGGGCTACGATGCAAGGCATTGAGATGTACAACATGATTTTCCGCTAAATTAAAGCCATTGAAAATTGAAATGAGTAAAAATACATTCTATTTTTCTATTTGCTAATTGAATTGCATTAGATTTGCTGGGAATAACTACTACTATGCCCATATTTAAAAGAATTCTAAGAACTTATTTCTATAAACGAAACCATTCATTTCTATGTTACCTTAAGTCCTTAACTTTAAAATAAAATAACAACTTATAAAGTCAAGCTGCAAATACTTTATTTCATTCACTATGCAAAATAACAAGTTTTGCCGATTACATGCATATAACAAGTTTTGCCGTTTTGCCTTCTCAAATTAAAGATTACACTTCTGATAATAATGCTTTCCCAACAATAACCAATTTAACAATATTGATCACTTAATTAAGTTACCATTCAATTAACATAGTTATTTCAATCAACTTAGAATTCAGTAATGACATTATGTATTGAATTAGTTAATTAAGGCAATAGTTGTCCAGACAAATAGTTCTGGTTCAATAAAAGTATAATAATCTTGACTTGTTTAAACCTGCCCTACCCATAAAATTACTCTAAGAATGTATCCTTCAACTTAAAGATAACTTTCTTTTTCGATTGATCATTCTTGACAACCTCTTTTAACAAATATTAAGTGTATATTCGTTTTGAATTGTGCATTAATCATGATAAATAAGATTCAAGAAGTTTTTGAATTATGTAAATCTATTTTTTTTTTTGAAAGGGAAATTTTATTGAAGAGCAAGTAAAGAAGAGTACAAAGGAAAATAAAAAAGGAAAAAAAGGAAATACAAAAGACATAATATTATAGAAAAATCCCAACCCTAAGAACAAGTAAAGAAAACCCTCCCGAGAAATTCATGAGAATTCCATGTGTGATTGAGATCTCGTCTTCATGTGATGCGATCTCTGATGCCTTTTTCTGTATAATTTCATTTGAGTGTTGAGATTTTGTGTAGGGAGGCAATTTTCTGTTGTGATCAGGGAAGCCTTGTTGTAAATTTCCCTATTTCTCATCAAATACACCCTCATAGTCAAGATATTGTTTACCTACGTAAGCATCTCCCGAAAAGTTGGCAGCCCGAGTTTTGATGTCATTAGCTTCCGTATTTTCGACAGGTCTAGAATCTTGATTTCCCAAAAACGAGGAGAGCATTCTTTCAAATTCCTTGAATAAAAATTGAGAAAGTGAATCCACCCCGTTATTCATAGAAGTTTGAATGAAATGTTTTAAGGAGTCTATTTGGGATAGATGAATGCCCTCAGTAAAGTGCGACACCCGGGATTTCTCTATCGAGGTAGAAAGCTCAATATCAACTTGAAGTAATGCTCCACAAATAGAAGATTCAATTTGGTGGGAGTGATACTCATCCAACCAGGGAGTAAAAAGATCATTTTCATACTAGGAGATGACCAGTTCCCATAAAGTTTGGGAATGGATTCTTTCAAGTTTCAACCAAGAGACTCTTGCCAAATCAAGATCAATAGCAGATAAATCTTTTCACATTGTTTTTTCATTTGTTTGTCAACATAATTTATTTGAACACCTCCTTAGCTTATTGCCTAAATCAAGCTCCCATATCTTCAAATCCATACAAAGAAAATTTATTCACGCCAAAAACTACGATCACTCTTACTTTTTGTTTACTCTTCACTTGATTTGATATAAAGTACATATTCATGAAGTTCGAAATTTAAAGAAAAATTTCACATTGCATAAATATATGTGTGTCAAACGGATATTTTTTTTAGAGAAGGTTGGTGTGGCTCAAATTTTTAGGGTGAACACTCATGCACAAACCTCTCCTTAAGGGTTCAATTCACATCTTAGGAGATGATGGATAGGGTAGATGGTAAATTAGGAGTGGACATGGTGCGGTCTGGTCCGGTTCGGTCCAATGTTTAGTCAAATCTGCATCCATATTGTGACTATTCAAACGATTCGGTTCAGTTCGATCTTGGATTTACATCCGTTCAATAGAGTTCCATTTTCAAACGGAGCAGTACCATGTCATACCAATGCAAACAATGTCACTTTTTTCAAGTGTTTTAAGAAGAAATTAAAGTTTAGGCAACCTCCAAAAATCCACACAATTTATCAATTTTCATAATACATAATTAATAAATTTTCATAATCCACACAATTTATCAGTTTAATCCACTGCTGGTTCTCATTTTATGAGCACCAGTCATGACATTGTTTGGAATCAGTACGATCCGATCCGAAACAAAAATTTCGAGACCTGTTTCAAAACCTGTTTTTCGATCTGGTACCATATCGATGGCACCATGCCAATTCAATATTTTTGCCCACCCCTATGGTAAATCATGTTGTATTTGCCATTTGAAGGCAAAACCAAGTTGACTGTGATTCAATACAAATTTACCTATATATTTAATAGTTTGGATGGTAATCGTGTAGACAAGTTTTTAATAATTTCAGAAAGATACATTCAATTCAAGTGCTTCTTCAATCATAATCAGCAATTTCCAATGAATTATGCCAATTTCAACCAGTAGAAATGTAGATAAAGTATATCCCTCACATTAGCTGGAAAATGCTCTCCTAAGGTAGGCCTAAAACTTAAAAGTTTTAGGTCTCTTTCATTTGAGATACTTCCGGGTCGAATATTTTTATTCGATTTTGTGATCATGTTCTCCATGAAGTTTAAATTATCTCAACCAAACTTCAGATTAAAATTCAAACGAGAAGTCAGGTAAATAAATTATTGAATCCAATACATGTGTGACCAACCCGCATTTCCTCTATAATACCCCTTGATAATAAGTGTACAAGATTAAAAAACATCAAATGCAAAACAATGTGCGGAGGTACTATAAGGTAATTATTCCATGTTCATCTCCCGTACATATACACTAAGTTATTCCACGTAGATGGTTATCACATGCATATATCATCAATCTCTATCTTTGAAGATTTATTTCATAAGTTATATTGCTCCAAACTTAGTAACTAACTCCATTATTTTCTGGATCTTTCGGCTATGTATAGTGTATACTCCACGAGTTTTGTTTCTTTCCAACATCAAAGTGCCACAAGTTTTTTTCCTCGCACTTAAATCAGAAGTAATCTACATTTTAAAGTCTTCTACTCAAGTCGGTCATAGACTCATAGGGCTACGATGCAAGCATTGAGATGTACAATACGATTTTCAGCTAAAGATATTGAAATACGTAAAAATACATTCTATTTTCCTATTTGCTAATTGATTTGCATTAAGATTTGCCTGGAATAACTAGTGCTATATATGCCCATATTGAAAAGAACGAACTTGTCTCTAAAAAAGAAACCATTCATTTCTATATATATGACCTTAACTTTAAAATAAAATAACAATATTTTTATGAAATCAAGCCGCAAATAGTTCAATTCAATCACTATGCAAAATCATTGAAAGTGTTTTTATGATACATTGGTTATTTTTACCGATTACTTAAAGTCTTAAATATAACAAGTTTTGCGGCTTTACTGATAATTAATGTTTTCCCAACGTAACAATAACCAATTTAATAACATTAATCACATAAGTTACGCTTGAATTAACATGGTTATTTCAATCAACTTGCCCTTGGCAGATAGCAAATTAGAAATGGTCGCCGCACCATGGATGAACGCCTTCTTATTAAGATTCAATCTAAAAGGTCTTCATGCAACATATAGCATATTAAAATTCAGTAATGACATGTATTGAATTGAATTGATTTTTTTAAGGTAACTGTTGTCCAAATAAATAGTTCCTCTTCAATAAAAGTATAATCTGAGTTGTCTAAACCCGCCCTACCCATAAAATTACTCTAAAAATTTATCCTTCAAATTAAAGGTAACTTTCTTTTTCGGCAAATAATAAGTACGTAGTATTAATTTATTAATTTTTGAATTGTGTGAACCTATTATAGTTCTTTTCACATTTTTATTTCATTAGTTTGTTACTAAAATTTATTTTAACACTACCATATTGCCTAAATCAAGCTTCCCAAATCCTCAATTCCATACAAAGAAATCTTTTAAAAGCAAAAACCAAAAGAATTCTTACTATCCATTTACTCATTACTTGATTTGATACGGAGTATAAAATACGGAATGATGAAGTTAGAAATTTAAAGCAAAATATTATATTAGGGAAGATTAGTGTGGCACACTTGGGTGAACACTCACCTCATCATGTCTTTTTAGTCAGAGGTCTTAGCTTCAATTGTCGCCTGAGAGATATGAGGTCTTTGTTGGTGATTTTAGTGTCATCGGCCATTTGTGTAATTGGAAAAGACATGAGTACCAATAAAGATTAGAACTATAATCTAATACAAGTTAGTATGTGTGGAGTGCACACTTGTATATAAGAACTAATTTAATTCTAAATTGTTTAGTCAGTGGAACTCGAGGTAGAACTCGATGTATAACTTTCAGTGGACTAGCTCTGCGGTTCTAGACCGAGGTCTAGAGCGGTCGGGCACTTGGGCAGTTTCGAGCAATTTTCCAAAAACTGCCGCGTTTATTCTCAAACGTGTTGCAACTGCCTGAGACGGTTGATATGGATATATGTCACCATATTTCGTACAGAGAAGTGAGAGACAAGATATTCAACATATCTTAATCACTTTTGACATTCAAATTAAGATAACAATCTATATACTCACTAGTTTGGCTCTATTTCTTGTGCATAAGTTATAGAGTGTCCTTAAGGATTATCCTAGATTGAATTTCTTGTAACCCAGACATAAGAGAGAAATATCAGTTCGAAAAGTGAACCTACACGATACTTAAGCAATCCAAGTACTTGATTATTACTCCTATACACACGAAGTCCCAAAGGTCTTGCTTCCTAATAGCTTCCTAATATTCTCCTTGGTCCATACTACATACCTTCACAGTTTACAGAATAGAACAACGGCCGAAGAGTAATTGTGATCAATTTACATGTTTAGGAGTTTTGAATGAAAGTTGACTCCCTATTGTGAAAGTGTAAACCCCATGTATAATATTTTAATAATTTCCAAAGATACATTCAATTCAAGTGCTTCAATCATAATCAGCAATTGTCAATGAATTATGCCAATTTCAACCTTAGCAAAAGATTCTAAATACACTAGAGATGTAGATAACTAGATAAGGAGGAATGTTCATGTCAGGCCGGCCTGACGGGCTGCTCCGTCCGGCCGAGCCTTTTTGGGCACCTTCCCGGTGGAATTTTTTGATGAAATTTTTTGAGCATGTTCCTCATCAAGTCTAGTTTGTCCATGCCAAATTTCAGCTCAAAATTCGATCGGGAAGACATTCAAATTATTTTTTAAAGTTGACTGCAGTTTTATATGTATATTTTGACGTAGTCAACTTCAAAAAATGATTTGAACGCCTTTCCGATAGAATTTTGAGTTGAAATTTGGTATGGACAAACTAGACTTGATGAGGAACATGCTCAAAAAAGTTCATCAAAAAATTCCACCGAGAAGATGACCAAACGGGCTCGGCCGGACGGAGATTGCCCTCAGGCCGGCCGAGAAGAGTACTCATTTCATTAACTTACATAAGAGATGTAGATGAGTTTATAACCAGTACTCTTTTCATTACAGACCTTGTAATCCAATCCCCATGGCAACTCTAAGCTTCCATCCCAGCAAAATCAGGAATCCCACAGTACATTCCTTTGACTTCCTATTCCAACCCTTTCCATCTTCGGTGAAAATAAGTCCACTGAAAACCACCTTCAAGAACCTGAATATTCTCTCTTCTTCGTCATCTCAAACTTCCATCTCCTCTCCTTTGGAATCTGAAGCCGCTGATGAAGATGACCCCACTGCGGAGTTGACCTATCTTGACCCGGAAGTTGATCCTCAGACCATTACCGAATGGGAAATGGATTTCGGCTCAAGACCCATTCTTGATATCAGAGGAAAGAAGTTATGGGAGCTCGTTGTTTGTGATAGTTCCCTCTCTTTGCAACATACAAAGTACTTCCCGAATAACGTCATTAACAGTATTACTCTGAAGGAAGCTATGGTGTCTCTCTGTGATGAATTAGGTGTTCCATTACCTGAAAAAATCCGATTCTTTCGGTGGGTACTTTTTTGTGATGTTCTGCCATTTCTGTTTACTTATTATTGTGTGTGTTTTATACATTAAATTTATGTATGCTTCCTAATTAGGATTGTGATTTTTTTCTTTCTTGGCAGGTCCCAAATGCAGACTATTATCACAAGAGCTTGCAATGAGCTTAGAGTAACAGCTCTTCCTAGCAAGCGGGTACGATCTCTTAAATAATCTATTATTATGATTGTGTAAGTAAAGAGAAAATGATGGATAATTAACAAGAACACTCTAGGTTTGTGCGACCTTGAATTGAACTAACTACAGATTAGATTCAATCTCTTAGTGGCTGTGGGTAACTCATTTTTTGTGGCTCATCATCCATTTTCTGAACCAACACTATGTTGTTTTTTTCATTTCGTGTGGTGAATTGTGTAATATTGAAAACTGTTTCAGAGTAGAGGTAATTTTCTGACTGAAGTTTGGTCAAGAGGATAATTTTAGCTTTTCTATATACCGTAATAACATTTTTCTTTATTTTATTTATAAGACATAATTCAAATATAATTGTTCATAATTTAGTATTTTCAGCTAATTCTACCATTTCAGCCACAACTCATCAGATTAAACCCATTTTAGTGTTGACAACGGGCCCTTATTGTGGTTTGGCTCATGTTTTATGGCCTGGTCAAGTGGCCTCAACCAAATCATAGATTCTATCTGATAATTAGCAGTACTCACTTATCCTTTCACACTTTTAGGCTCCGTTTGGTGCTCAGCTCTTGCTTATTTTGTTTATAAGTGTTGCAGTATAAATGTATAAGCAGCTTTTGACTTTCTTGGCTGAAACGGAGATTACCAAACACATCCTTTCAGAAAATGCGCCAAATTTAGCCATTCAAGTCAAATAACGTTTACCAAACAGGCACTTACTGTGATAAGAAACGAATTAGTAATGACTTAGGGAACTCGACCAGCAATTTACCTTTTGTGTTTCCATTGTATTACGTAGTACATGATAGTGTTGATGTGCCCTCATTGTTTCCTTATAAAAACTTTGGCATCTTAAATTTATTGATGATAATGGGCTGTTGCACAGTGCGTGTCATTGATTCTTTGGCTTGAAGAACGCTACGAAACAGTTTATACTCGACATCCTGGTTTTAACAAAGGATCTAAACCACCGATTGTTCTTGATAATCCATTTCCAGTGGAGCTTCCTGATAGCTTCTATGGTGAAAAGTGGGCTTTTGTCCAGTTGCCTTTGTCAGGTAAAGTTGTCATACTTTTTTATTTCACTCTAAGACGCTTGATACACTGCTATTTGAGTTTTTTGGGTTCCTCAAGGTTATTATGCCTGAGAGTTAGATATGGGGAGAGGGTAGAGGGCAAGGTTTTCATTTCATTTTTAAAAATAATTGCTTTAATGTAGTTTTTTTCTTTCAAACAGTGGAAATAAAATCTTAATTTTCTATCCACTTATTCATTACCACAAATCATATACTCCGTATAATTTTCTGAGTTTGGAATAAAAAAGGAGGTTTTCCTATAACATTACTAAAAGAAAACTCATTGATGAAAATATGACTACATTATACAAAACCATGGGGCATGAAGGTCACCTTTGCTCACTAGTTTAATTTAGGTAGTATATTTACCATCATTTATTAAAAGATAACCCTCACCTTACCCTCCAAACCCCTTCAAAATCTAACTCCCAAACATATCCTGAGTATAGTTCTTCAGGAAGAAGTTTCATGCAATGTGTTTTTCCTTGATTATAGCTGTTCAAGAAGAGGTTTCATCTCTGCAGACAAGGGATATGCTTGGTGCAACATTAGATTTGGATCTTTTGGGGATTGAAATTGGAGAAGAGACATTAATTCCAGGACTTGCTGTTGCATCTTCTCGTGCAAAGCCATTAGCGGGTAAAAGAAATTGTGTTAAAGCAAATCATGTGACGATAAAATGCAAAAGATTGCATAAATGAGATTAAAACATAACTTATTTTTTCTAAAAAAAAAACACAACTTATTTTCTTCCAACATGTCGATGATTAGTCTTCTAATTCACTACCTTTATTCCTTTTTAAGACACAATAGGTCTTATTAGGGAGTGTTTGCAAGAGTTTCTAGGCAGTACTTTTATGTTTTTTTGCTCTAAATAGTTAAAAGTAATCTTTTTAAGTTAGTGCTTCTGTTTAATAGTACACACTTCAAATATAAAAGTAGTAAGCAAGGACGTAGTGTTTAAAAGTGTTTTCTCTTTTTGTATACGGAGTAATATATTACCCTATTCAAAAGTATTTTTTACCAAACACTTCATCTTCTACTTTTAAAGATCACTTTTTATTTCTAAACACTAACAATTTTTACCACTATCCTTTTATATAATTTCTAAAATGAATCACTTCTCAAAAGAAGTAAATGCCATCACTTTCTCATTTCAGTATAAAACAATGGTACATTTATTTGTGCACATGACTGCTTTACTCTTGTTTACATAATTTCTTAAAAAAGAATGCTTGAATATTCATTTTCTTTCTATTTGCTGGTCCAGCTTGGATGAATGGATTAGAGATGTGTTCAGTTGAAGTTGATACTGCTCGGGCTCGCTTGATTTTATCTGCTGGGATTTCAACTCGCTACATTTACGCAACCTACAAGAAAACATCAACAACCACAAGTGAAGGTGAAGCCTGGGAAGCTTCAAAGAAGGCCTGTGGAGGTTTACATTTTCTTGCTATTCAAGATGACCTAAACTCAGATGATTGTGTAGGATTTTGGCTCTTACTAGACTTGCCACCTCCTCCTGTATAGATAGGTCATGCCAACTTTTGAGCGAGTACACTTATGATGATGTAATTAAGATGTAAGGAACTCTTAAATTGATTTGAGCTCAATTATAATTAAATGAGGGCTTTTTGTGTAAATCTTAAAAGAATTGTGAACTTATATATAGACTTCCAAGTTGCAACTGCCCAATCCAGCTTCCTACATGAGGGCATTTGTTAAGAGTAAAGATTTGGTTGCAGTGCTTGAAATGGCTGAACTGTTGAAACAGCAGGTCAAAGGGTGGCAACTTCTGATCATATAATTTAAACTTTCTTGATCCTTTGCCAAGTCAAAACTTGAGCTATTTGTGAGATGGAGCTAGTATTTTTAAATGGTACGCGAAAATTCGAAAAACAAATTGAAGACTAAATAGTAAATACACAACTCGTGACAAATTTTATTTCACAAAAAATTGTGCCATTTCATAATATACTAAATTGAACAGACTTAGCTGACCTGAGTATATAATTGAAATTTGGTCAAATTTATGGTATTTGCAGTTATTTTCATTTCTTTTTATTATCAACCCATTCATGGAGCACAGTCAAATACGTTAGTTTTTGGTAGAAAAATCTGCCCTATAAGACTTCTAAAAAAATAGGCATTAAGGATTAGGATTTGCAGTCTTCTTAATTTTGGAGAACTACAAAGCAGCTGCATTGAAGAGCAAAACAAATAGCAATAATCTTAATATTTCTACATTCAACAAAATACCGTTCATAGTTCCCTTCAAGGGAAAATAGGGAGAACAAGAAATCAATCATTTCAACTTCATAAATACAACCACGTATATCTCAAAGTAATAGCGGGTCAAGAAAAGAGATCTTGAAGGTCTAGGATATCAGCAAGGACGCCTGCTGCTGTAGTATCATTGCCTGCTCCAGCACCTTGAATAACCAGTGGTTGTTCTTTATAACATCTGCTGTATATTTCCAACTGCATTCATGTAGGGGATTAGAAATTCAGAGTACACTAACTTCAATGAAGTTCGTTATTTTTTATGGGACTCTTCCGGGATACAATTTAATCACAAGCATGCAAAAATAAGAGGTAAATATAAGAGGTAAATATCTAAACAAGTAAATATATAAGAAACTGTGGGGAATGGAAGAAGCGGATTATAAAAAAGTAAAGATGCAGATAAGTATTTGCTAACCACATTATCACTCCCTCTCAGTCTCCCTAATGCAGAATCTTTTGGAACTTCTTGGATGCCAACTTCACATCTGCCAAGCAGGAAAAGTGCAATATCATAAACTTGTGCGCAGCTAAACCCTTATGACAAGGAGAGTGTAATGATTGATTCACCCTCCTCAACAATAAACTTAGCAGTTAACCTTTGTTGAAATTTCTTTCCTCTGAGCCCACTTAATTATCGAACACTAAAGTTATATCTTTCTTATAACCAATTGTTGTTAAGTAGGTCCGTAGGTGAGGATTATCTATTTCACCATATGCCTTAACTAAGGTGACAGTTGGTCGTCTGCTAGTTATTTTCTCACAAATCAAAGTGTGGTGTTGACCCCTATAAGACCGACAAAGCGTGTAAATGGTAAATTGTAAACAGAGGTACCTAGAAGAGGCATCGATCAAGCATACATATCGTAGAACGTTCCCATTCGAAGATGCCTTTTCAATCCTTTCTTGGATGCCCTTGTCAAGCTGGGGAAGACCATTGTTTAAAAATTGATCCAATGGCATCACACCAGGCCCCATGTGTGCAGGATACAAGCTTTCAATCTACCAAATATGTAATAATTGTTTGTCCATCACATATTTGATATCTACCTACTTTGGGCCAACCAGAGAACGGAATAAAGAATACACAACTAACCTTCATGCTGCTTAAGTTTATACGATGTCCAAGGAGTCGGGCAAGGATCAAAGCCTATGGTGAATTAAAGCCATTAAGGTCACAAAACATTACATGAAATAATAACACTTGTACTTTTGCCTATTACAAAGAAAGGTAAGCAACTAATGGTTCTAGAGATGCATATATATTGTCTATATTGTGGAATTAAATTTATTTTTACTATAAAAAGAAGTTGGCTTATGTTTACTATAAATTTCCATCATTTGCAATGGAGCCAAAGATTCATTATTTTTTGGCTTGAGAATATGATGGAATAAAGCAAAATGGCTCACTAATCTGTCTGCACTTCTTTGCGCTTCTTTGTTATGAAGCAACAGTCAGTCCATGCAATTTTGGACGCGATTTTCACTATGGGTCATCCGGAAACAGTCTCTCTGTGCTTTAGTACAGCTTTAGTACAGGGGCAAGACTGCGTACATCCGACCCCTCCTTACCCCACCGTAGGTAGGAGCCTTTGCGGCACTGGGGTAAATGAAAATGAAAATGATAATGATAAAAATAAGTTCCCGGACCTTTCTTGCCACATCCATGCCACCAAGATCATCTCGAGGATCTGAATATCAAATAAAATATTAATATAACCTAATGTGTTCCCTCTCAAAACTACTAAGCTAATGATATCACATTCAATCTAAATGAATGAGTCTACCATTAATGGCCTTTAAGAGCTTCTTTGGTTCAGGGATTAAGGAAGGGAGGGGCTGCAGTTATTTTATTTTATATATAATTTATTTATTTAGATGGTTAAAAAAAATTGAAGATAAATAAAGTACTATATTGAAACGCATTACTAAAAGAATCAACGAGTTATTTTTTATCTAAACTAACAAATCAATGATATGTTATCACTGAAACTCGCAAGCCAAACAAAACCTAAGTGACAGCTTATTGTTCATACATATCACTGATATGTTATAATAACCTTCTTCAAGCTGATACAAGTTTAAATGGTTTAATGATATAATATTGCATTGAAAAACTGCAGTAAAACTAAATGCGATCACAGATAAATTTTCCTAGAAGAGTTCCCCACAACATAACTTCAAAAATCAACAGGGAACATTTGATATGCCATAAACTGGGAATTTAAGATATGAATGATAACAAGCTTACATAAAAGAGTCAAAAGGTTTAGAAATATCATTTTAATTAACTGTCATATTTACCTATACAGGTACACCCTAAACGATAGTGTATGGACTATGGAGTGCAAATTTCCCTTAAAAATTACCACCTTGAGCATCTTCAAAGTAAATTCCAAGTAAAATTCTATCAAAAGTATCATGCAAACACATATTTAACAAATGATTAAAACTTGTACATAAAATTTACTTGAAACACTTGTAGATCTTAAGACACCACTAAATTAAGCCTATTAAACAATTTTAAGATCCTTTCACCCTTACATACAAGGCCTAAATAAATCCCTACAGATCATACAATTGAAAATTCAATAGCATAAGATTTGAAATTACTTTGCCTGCATGGAAGTTTGCACAATACTACGCATCATATATTACAGCTTGGGGGAAGTGTCACCTGGTTCAGTGTAGCCAAGGCTTTTCGCGACATTAACCACTTTACTGAACAGTTTTCCATCCTCAACCTCACTCATCACATATCCTAATGTACCTATTCGACAAAACTCACTGACATGTTATGCCATCAGATGGTGCAAATAATCATATCTAGAAGAAGCAGCGAGAGAAAAGGCAAGTCAGAAGAAATTACCACTTAGACTCCCAATAACACGATATACGGTATCTCCAGAAGAAATTATACGACTCAAGGACGCCATGATAGGGAGCCCAGCACCAACCTACAAAAGGGTATAAGAGAAAGAGGTTATTCGTCAAATTGTGCAGTCCAGCAAATTTAGAGGGGAGGCAAGGGGAAGGGCGATATTTTTTTAAAAACAATTCCTACATTTATATGGTTTAAAACATGGTTCTAAAATAGGCCTAAGCGGCGCTAGTCGCTAGGCGGTGGATGGGCACCCCAGGCGGTGGGAAAAATCGCCCGGGCGCCTAGACGGGCTAGGTGTCCTGGCTTAAATGTGTTCCTAACCCAACTAGCGCAGGCTAGGTGCTAGGCGGTCAATCACCGCTCGACTAGCGCCTAGAGCCTTTTAGAACACTGGTTTAAAATAACATAAAGATAAAAAACTATGTAAGTATGTAGGATTGCATTATGTACTTAATCATATAACCATTTCTAGCCAAAAACTAATACAAGAGATAAATTAGTAAAAACATCAATCCTTCCTTCCACAATCAATGAACCAAACACGACCCTAAACCACAACACCTCACCAACACAAAGACACACACACACCATGTTTACTGAAAGCTAATTATTCACAAAAATAGCACTTACAGTGGATTCATATCGAAGACGGCGAAGTTGTAAAACCAACTTGTCATAATCTTCCTACAAACAGCAAAGGAGAAGTAATAAATACATGTGAATACAAAAGCGAGTGGTTATAAATCACACCCCCTCCGTCCCAAGAAAGAGTCATGTTTGAGTAAGGTACAATAGCTTTTTATGTTTAGTCAATTCAATAAAGGAACAAGTTGTGCAAGCTATATGTGTTCACTTATCTACCCCTAAAACTTGGAGCTTATTTCCATGAATGTTTAGAGTAATAGACTAAAACAGCTTGCTACTTGGCTTTCCAGCGACATTACTTTTAAAAGTTAAAACTTTACCTAACTGCTCCTTTAACGAAAAAAAATCTTAAAGTGGAACATTTTCTTGTTTTTTTGGTAGTACATGTCAATGGATGAAAAGCCAGAAGCCCACAAGACCACAACAATCATCATTAGAGCCTATATGATTGTCAATGTTAAGTTTGGCTGTATATATAAGTCCATACTTCTTTCGAGTAAGCAGCATCGTAAGACTTCTAAGTCACACATTATATAGCTTAATAAACTGAAATGAAAAAAATGTTTACCATGGATGCAGTGAGTGGCTTTTTATTAGCCAGCACTACACAACATCCGAAATCCACTACTCTACTTAGAATCCCAACAGTCTCAGAACTTGCTGAGCAATCAACAACTGCCAAACCTGTCTCAATAAACATTTGCATAAATTAGTGTGATAAAAGAAGAGCAGAGCATACCTATCAACTGTGTACATAAATTGACTATATTTACCATACAAAGGAACAAAACCTTTTGTGATTAAAAAAGTTTTGGAATTTCATCTAACTCCTATTGAAGGTTGCAGCATATAGGAAGGACATCTGTTACAAAACTTTGACACTGCTCTTTTGCATGAATTT